CATCATACAAAATGTTTGGCGAGTGTAATTTGTACTAGGCGGTGAATCCCTTACCCTCCCCCTTCCCTTACTTCTCTCCTCCCCTCGGGAATTTGTGTGAATTAATCCCCTGGGGAGGAGAAATTTTAAAAGTAGCAAGTGGTAAATTTGATTTTTTCAAAAATTATCCAAAACCTACTATTTATGTAATGAAACAGTGAAGGTCGGCATCAAAAAACATTTAATAAACAGTAATATATTGAAAAATTGTAATAGTGATGACAAATGCTTTCAAATAAACAAATACGTCTTGATGGCTAGTAATTACTATATTTTTTATTTTTTAAATTGAATTTTCTAACAACTTTGTTGTTTTTTAAATATACCATACGAAATGGTTCTAAAAGCGAAATTCCTATATTTCATGATCTTTAATTAGGAAGAGAAGAATTAGGTATAGGGAAAGATATCTATTTTTTTTTTACATAATTATAAATGTTAAAATAAATTCGACATTAAGAATTAATAATATAAATAAATATTATTATTAAATAATAATTTTTTAATTAAAAATTAATATTATTTTATATTATTTTATTTTAAACCAGGATGGAAATTGACCGTTATAATTTTCATCAAATTGTTTTTTTAATCTTAATTTAGATTTATGTTTTCTACTTTTTAGATGTCGATTCCATTCATCATTACCATTTATAATTACCGGTAAATTATCATTAAATATTGTACAAATATCACAATGATATTTTTTCCATTTATCCAAAATTTCAAAATCACTAAAAAGTAAGATGATTTTAAATAAATTGTTATATAAAACTTGATAAGAAAAGATAATCAATGTAATATAATAGTAATACTTCATATCCTTTTTTGATTTCAAAAGTTCTTTTGCTCGTAAATTTACTGAAGTTGGATTAGGTCCTATTCCATTTTCAAGAAATTCTATAAAATAATAATAACCCATAAAAATTTTATAAGTTAGTAATAATTCAAAATTTTCACATTGTGAAATACCTTTAGCAATTGCAATTGATTTATCTCGAACTTCTTGATTCCAAGTTTCTAAAGCTATATTTAAGCATAAATCCTGTTAAAGAAAAACACGTAAATGATGTATTGATAACTTAAAGATAAAAAGAATACAAGTTGCATCCAATAAATATATCCTAATATTTCCAGAATGTTCTTCATTTCTGTTATTTAATGATTCTTGTTGACATTTATATAATAATTTATTTCTTATCCATCTAATTTGAGTCCTTGCATATCTATGTGTTGCTGCCTTCATAGATTCAATACCTTGCGTTTTTAACGCATCTAAATATGACGCATCTAAAATAGAACATAAATAATGTTCAATCAAATTCATTTGTTTAGGATAATAAAATTTATTGCTAATTTACCATTAGACTCTTCGACAGCTGTTAAATATGGATCAAATTCTTTATATCCTAAATTAATAAAATAATCAGATATTTATTTCACTATTAGCTTTGTAAAACAAATTAATTGATTATTTACCTATGGCTTGCCAAATTCCACGTGTAAAATCTTCTTTATTTCCCAATGGAGTTTGTATTTTTCCAGTTTTAACACTATTTCTTAAATAATTTATTTCCTCAAAAAGTCCACTCTTGAAAAGATATAATTTAATATTAAAATATATTGGAGTTTAATTAATAATAAAGTATGTACACAAAATACCTTAATCATTTTATCGATCCTTGAATTAAGTCTATGATCAAGAACTTCCAAGTCAGAATATAACCAAAAAATGCAAGTACGTGAAAATCTACAAATTTAAAGTATATTTTACAAATGAGTTGAGCCTTGACTTGTTTAATAAGTTCAATCAATACTCATAGTAACCTTAATGATGAGGCCTTTTCTTTTGGATCATTTTGTTCTTTAATCCATTGACTATGTGGTTTTCCTGTTTCCATGTATATCTAGGATATAGTAATAACATTTATTAAGAATTCTAAAAAAATGATCGTCAGATATGATCAATTACCTGTAAACTTCTCCTAACTCTCCTAGTATCATTCTGGTGCCACTTACTTGCCATTACTGGATCTACTTCCTGTAATCGTTTGTAAACAACTTCAGGCTTTGCATCCAAAATCTCCTCGTCAATATTACTCTCTTTATCATTTGCATTAAATGAATCTCCTTCGATAAGAGAATCCCTCCAAAGTAAAGATTGTATGTAATAATTTGTACCACCTACGATAATTGGAATTCGTTGACGATTATGAATTTCTTTAATCTTTAGTAATGATATTATTGAGAATACATAATAAAAGTATCACTATTCTAAATAGGTTAATAAAGTAAAGTTTTGGATACAGTTCGAAGTGCATCTTTTGTAAAATCAGTAACTCGATATTCCTTATGTGGATCCAAAAAATCCATAAGGTGATGTGGTATTTCTTCTCGTTCATTCAGTGGAATTTTATTTGTAATAATATCCGGTCCTTTATAAACCTAGAATTTACTGAATTAATTAATGAATTAGCGGAATTTAAAAAAAATTGTGAAATTACCTGCATTGAATCACCATTAATAATTTCTCCTTGTAAAGTTTTTGCTAATTGAATTCCCAAGTCAGTTTTACCAACGCCTGTTGTACCTATAATTGCTATAATACTTTTTTGCATGGTGTTAGTAAAAGTTGAAAAAATTCTCGAATTTCTAATTAAGTAAACCTGATGAATTCTATTAAAATTCATAATTAATTTGATAATCTACAAAAAAAAAAATATTAAATGTCAAAACACGTGATAAACGTGATAATGACATAAAATCATACGATTTGGCGTAAAAAAAATCCCTCCCTTTTCTTTTTTTTTTTTTTTCATTATATCCAATTTTTAAATATTTTAATCATGGGTTGTCAAGAACTTGGTATTCCAGCTGGTGTTATCACTGGAGATAATGTTCGCAAATTATTAAAATATGCAAGCAAACAAGGTTTTGCTATTCCAGCGGTCAATTGCACTTCTTCTTCGACAATTAATGCAGCCTTGGAAGCTGCTCGTGATATCAAAGCACCACTCATTATTCAATTTTCTCAAGGTGGTTCGGCATTTTATGCAGGCAAAGGTTTAAGTAATGAAGGACAAAAGGCTAGTATCATAGGAGCCGTCGCTGCTGCCCATCATGTTAGGCTAGTTGCAAAGGAGTATGGAATGTAAGTATTACTTTTAAATGTATAGAATCACGAAAAATCGATTGGTAACCGAAACACATTTTTATTTTTTTTGATATAACCACAGTCCAGTTATCTTACATTCTGATCATTGTGCCAAAAAACTTTTACCTTGGTTTGATGGAATGTTAGAAGCTGATGAAGAATATTTTAAAAAACATAATGAACCACTTTTTAGTTCTCATATGCTGGATCTTTCGGAAGAACCAAAACATGAAAATATTGCAACTTGTAAAAAGTATCTTGAACGTATGTCAAAGATTAATTTATTGTTGGAAATGGAAATTGGTATCACAGGAGGAGAAGAAGATGGAGTTGATAATACAGGAGTTGATAATGCATCATTATATACACAACCCGAAGATATCTGGGATGTTCATCGTGAATTAAGTCAAGTTTCTGACATGTTTACTATTGCCGCTGCATTCGGTAACGTCCATGGAGTTTATAAACCTGGAAATGTTAAACTTACCCCTCATTTACTTAAAAACCATCAAGAACATGTTAAGCAAAAACTTCAATGCGATTCCGATAAACCTATTCTGTTCGTTTTTCATGGTGGTAGCGGATCCGTCAAAGATGAGATTAAAGAAGCTGTTAGTTATGGTGTTATTAAAATGAATGTTGATACCGATACCCAATGGGCTTATTGGGACGGTATTAAAAATTATCATGATAGTAAAAAAGGTTATCTTCAATCACAAGTTGGCAATCCTGATGGTGTGGATAAACCGAACAAAAAGTATTATGATCCTCGTGTTTTTATTCGTGAGGCCGAAAAAAGTATGATTAAACGTGTTAAAGAAGCTTGTCAAGATTTAGGAAATGTTAATCGGTTGTAATTTAAATTCATTATTATTAGTACGAAAATTTTTTTTTATGGTTCTGCTTAATAAAATAAAAGCGACTTTTTTTTTTGTGAATTATAAGGAGTGACAAAAAGCATAAAAATCTTCTCTGTGTAAAACGAAACAGGGGAATGATAAATAAAAGAACCCTAACCTCACATCTAACCCTAACCTGTAATAATCTTTCAAGTCAAATTTTTTTAAATGGTTCGATCTTTGATTCAGATAATTGATTAGATTATTTATTACATTGATTCTTTGAATATTATGAGTTATTAAATAATTCAATAATGCCAATTCTTCACAAAATTCATTCCATTTTTTGTATCGTTCATTTGTGACAATGATTTTATTAGCACATTTTGTGAAATCATGATCCACCACCATTTTTGTACCGTAAAACCGGATCAACAAATGAATTCGTCCATAAAAGGTTTTGAATTTTCAAAATTTTGGGTATATAAATCACCGTTATTCCTTGCCGAATTTTCCCGATTGCACCTCTTCTTCTAAATAATGTGAATCTCGCAGTATATATATAAACTTCATACGTATGGTTTGATGTTGGTCCTCCATTTCTATGTGTAGTAATTGGTTCCCTCAAAATCGGTGATTATATAGAGGTGTGACTGTTAAAAGGTAACTTCTATACAATCACCGTTATATTAAAAATTATGTATAGTGACTATATAGAGGTCATTCAATAATATAATAGTTAATTTTTAGAAAATGCTTTATTAAACATTAGTTAAATTTGTTATATTTATTAAATTGTTTAAATGTAATATAAATGCTATATAATAATATACTAAATATTATTTAAATGTTATATAAAAGCTATGTATAAATGCTATTTACTTATTACTTATATATCAATTGAATACTAAAAAAATTTTGTAATTGGAACTTGCTTTTGAGATTGCAATTCAAGCTGTCTAATTATTTTAAAATACTTGTTAAAGATATTTATATCCTTTACACAGAATTTATCTGTTTGTTATTGCTCAAAAAATGTAATCCATGTTTGTAGAGATTTGAGAGCATCGCTCAAAGACACTAATATCTGTTCTTCTTCAGAGTCACTATTTTCATTCTTATCAAGTGTTTCATTTTGAATAAGTTTTGTAATATCATTTTCATTTAAAATATCCTCAGTTGGAATTTCTTCTAAATCATTAAAGAAATCATTTAATGTATCTGTCAATAAAGCAACATGTGGATCATCTATATCAAGTTCATTAATCATTTGATTAATATCTGTTTATTCTTCATCATTTTTCTCTTGTTGAGTTTGCATTGCATCATTTATGTCTTTATTAGTTAAAGAAGGTAAAATTCCAGTTTTTTTTCAACAATTCTGTATTGTTTCTTCAGTTACATAATTCTATGCATCTGCAATATAGTTTATTGTTTCTTTAATATTAATTTTTTCTTTGTTAATATCTTTTTCATCTTCAAAAAGATTTAACATATGATGACAATATTTTCTTTTGAAATAACTTTTAAAGTTTGCAATAATTCTAACATCAAGCGGTTGAAGATGACTTGTAGTATTAAGAGGTAAAAAAGTTATTTCAATATGTGTAAGTTGAAGTTGATGTTTATTATGACTTTTTGATTCATTATTACAACCTTTTGATCTATTACCGTGACCTTTTGATCTACCACCATAATTACTGTAACCTTTTAATCTACTATTGTGACCTTTTGATTCACTATTGCAACCTTTTGATCTACTATTGTGATCTTTTGATCTACCATTGTAACCTTTTGATCTACCATAACCTTTTGATCTACCACCGTAACTTTTTAATCTATTACCATAATCTTGACCTTTTTTTAAAAAAAAAATAATTCAATAAATATTTATTAATTATTAATTTAAATAAATTTTAAATTTAAAAAACAACTTACCAAATATTGATGTAGATTCCATTTCTTCATCAGTATTATTTTCATCAGACTCATTTTGATCATCTTATTTAATTTCTAAAGTTGATAAATAATGTGAATTAAAATATGATGATGCATTATCAATCAAAAGCAAAATTTTTTTATTTTGCATTCTAAAATAACTATTCATTTCACGAAGTACCTCTTCAAAAATCAAAGAGTTCATCTATGCTTTTAGATTTTTACAATAATAGACTAGAAAACGTTTCAAGTTAATATTTAAAAGAAGTCTTGAATGTTTTGCATTACCAATTACCCATAGTTTAAGCTTGTCTATTCCTATTACATTAATACTAAGAAGGACTGTAATTCTTGATTTGTCTTTCTTTCGACTAAGAACAGGTTTAGTAGTAAGTGTTTGGTTAGGTAATATTCAATAAAAAAGGTCTTTTAATATTATTTTTAGTAATAGTAAATTAAATACTATATTAGCATATATAATATAAAAAGTATATTAAAGACTTACTGTTTCATCAATATTATAAATTCAATCGAGAATATATCAACCTAAAAGTAATTGTAACTTTTTTTCATTCTTCTGAAAGAGATGCTAATAGTACACTTCCTGATTTTCTATACATATAATGCTTATGAATATTGTTACGTTTTTTAAATTTATATAGCCAACCATTAAAAAAAACTAATTCATTTTCTTGTATATTAAATGCATTGGCAAAAAACTTTGCCTTTTCTTTTATTAATAAATCTATTAAGATAACTTCACTTGTTATTACATTTTCTACCCATAAATTCATAGCATAATTAAGTATTAGAAATTTGAAAATTTCTTTAGAATCTAAAGGTTCTAATACAGAATTCTATTTTTCACTTTATGTTAATATTTTTGATATAGTGCTATGGTCAATATTTAAAGTAGAGATTTTTTATTAAAATAGGTTGCAATTTTAGAATGTTTTTTATTATTGTTGTTTTTTGCCTATTCACAAATTTAATATTTGAAATTAGTACTTATAGCTAAATAGTGTTGTTTGAGCATTATAAAAAACTAGTTAAACAAAAAGTTTTTTTAAAAAGATATTTTAAAGGAGCTTTTTATAAAGCTACAATAATATTTTAAGATTTGTAGCATCATAGCTAATACTTGATGCGAGAAAACCAATCATATGAAATTCTCTGAATAAATATAGAAAAATGTAATAAAAATTATTACAAGAAAATACTGAAATATGATGATTTTCCAAGCATTACATTTTATAATTATGTTCTTTTTTATTGTATTATATTTAAGTATTACATTTTAAGTGTTACATTTTAAGTTGTTACATTTTTAAACTATTTTATCATTATATTCTTTTGCAGACTTGTGGACTTTAATAACTTATTTGATAAGCCAATCAGAAATTTGTGATTATAAAGAGGTCTAATTACTAATAAAAATGATATATACGTTATAGGTCATGAGGTAATAGTGACTATATCTGATTTGTGATTATAGAGAGGCAATTAAATAATATTAAAATCTGTTTTACAAAATTAGATGCTTATAAAGAGGTATGACTGTATAGGGTGTGACTGTATGGAGGTCTGACTGTATTTAGAAAAATTAATGACATCATTTTTTACGCGTAATTTTGGAAACATTTAGATGATATCATTTTTTATGAAAATTTTTATCAGATGATATCATTTTTTATTTACAATTTTTAACCTTCTTATATTTTCATATAAACAAATCAAAAACGAAAAATTTCTTTACTATTATTTGAAAGTTATCAATAAGGTTTTCAAAAAAAAGGGAAAAAGAGCTTAATTTTGGTATTAGTTTAATCTTCAGTTTGACTTTATACTCGATATACCATTATCTTTCAGTGAACATTAAAGGCAAGTAGAAAACTTTTCTTTACATATAATATTTAAAAAATTTTCTGATTATTTTTAAGAACTACCATTCTAAAAGATGAATGGTTATGTATCTTTCTTATAACAAGTGGTTAAATTAATATTTAAAGTATGCAACCACAATTTTTAATTAAGCTTCTTATGAAGCTTCCAGGTTAGAACTTTGTAAGATTCAACTTAGATATGTTAGATATGATGTATATTTTAAATGCTAACAATTATTTAGTGACTATTGTCAAATGTATCATATGTTTAATCAAGTTATACTGATAATTAGCAATACTAGTTAGAAAAAAAATAGGGAAGACTTGCATGATTTTTATGATTATATTTGACATATTCCATTAATAGATTTATTACATTTGTTGTTTGCTTATTTAGATTCAGTCTAATTTTTTTATAATAAAGATATAGATATGGATCAACATATTGCAAAATACTTGTTGAATTACTGTCATTAAAATTGGAATATGTCAGGATTCTTACAAGATTTATCTGAAAAAATTGACTTCACAAATGTTGATACTACAAATATTCTTAATACCTTTTAATAATACTTTAAAAATATATTTAATAGTCGAAATGTCTTTAAACGTACATAAACTAAGATCAGTAAACCTTAGATTTAGATGAATTAATACAACTTTTAGAATGATTGCAAGTTAGCTTTCAGAGTTTACTTAATATTATTTTTTTGCCAAATTTTAGTAAATTTAACTTATACTATTTACATGCTCACATTCCAGATTGGTTAGAATAAAGAAAAAAAGAGCATTAAGAAATGATTCAGGTAATTGTTAACAACTCTTATTTTTCACTCAGAATTTAAAAATTAATACAATCTTTTTGTATAAAATAGACTTTTAAAGTTGAATTGATTCAAGATTTTGAGTTTTCTGAAATTTCATTACGAATAAAAATAATGATGATAGGTATGAAATTATTTTTATTTTTACTTTTTATTTTTTAAAAAGATATTCTCAACTTGTATATAATTTTTAGGTGTTTATAAACTGCAAATTCGTTTTTATGAATATTCAGATGTTAAGAAAATTTGATCTATATACAGATCTAGAGATTGTGATAAAAGATATAATCAAATTCTCGTCATTTCATTAATTATAATATGATCATATTTTTTAAATTATCATATACATTATCAGATGATTGGAGATTGAATT